TCGGCGGCCTCCCATGCGCGCCCCAACAGGGGATCGAACCTGCAGCCTTTGGGTGTACCAGACGCCACTCAGGCAACCGAGCCCCCGGGCCAGGGCCCCTGCTGGCTCTGACACTGGTTTCAACCGAGTATGCATATAAACCTTTCAAAGAGAGGAGTGAGAGAGAGAACCCTTATCCATACGTTCTGAATTTATATGGCTTCTTCTCACGTACACAACTCCTTCTTCCTACACACAGTGCCTGTGTGTAAAGGAAAGCAGAACGTTTCATCGTGATTTTGCTTCAGCAACTTTGGGACAAAGTAAAAGTCCTAAATTCTGGGGGCAGGGGCGGAGGGGGCGAACTGCCGATGCTCCAGGCCCCACCCAAACCAATGGAGCCAGAATAGCAGGCAGGTGGGAGGGGGCTGGGCCTCTCTTGTTTACCCTTGCGATTCGTGTGTGCGGCCACGCTCACAGTCTAGAATGCGCTTCTCAGGCTTCACGCACAGGACGCACCTGAGAATGCTATTAAACCCTGGTTCTGACTCCGCAGCTCCAAGGTGGGGTCTGGGAGCCTGCACCTCTAACAAGCGCCCCAGTTGGTGGGCCCTCCGTCGACCGGCACTGTGCAACAGGACTTCCTGCAGAGAAGAAAGGCTCCAAGTGTACACTGCCCAACACAACACTCATGGCTACCGAGCCCTTGAAACACGGTTAGGGCAGCTGAGAGGCGGAACTTTTTGCGTGAGGCCTTCGCACAGGCAGTGTGAGTCTGGGATGTTTACACTCCACAAAGGGACCAGCGCCTAGAAAGGTGGGGCGCGTGGCAAGAACCAGGCCTTGGCCCGGGCACCCCTCCCCAAGCAGTGGGTGGCGGGAACACCCTACCGGTCAGCCAGCACGTCAGGAGCGGCCCAGTGCTTACCTCAGGCAGGGAGGCAGACAGGGAAGACCTTATCAAGACACCTTCGTGACTCAAGCCTGTGGTGACTAGGTGACTTCACAAGCCAATCACGCCACTGGGCAAGGCCCTGCTGACCACAGCCCGGGGCACCCGACCACGCCCGTCCCCACGTGACGAGGCCCAGCCCCTCCCCCGGCCGTTTCCATCCTGCTCCCATCCCCGGGCGTCTTCCTGGCCAGTCTTGGGGCCGCAGCCCTGGGAACTCCTGACCAAGCTGACTTGCCTGCAGGTGTTTGGCCCCCTCCGCGCGGCAGGGCTTTTCCCAGAGGGCGCTGCCTCCTCCAGGCGTCCCCGCCCCATCGCCTGGGGCCCCCCCACTGGCGGTGGTGGTGAATGCTTTCACCACTGGTCCCAGGAGAGGCCCAGGGGCCATGTGGGGGGAGGGCCCACAGCAGGGGTCTTTCCTTCCCTGACAGACTCAAAAATTCCCGGACACGGCATCACGCGGCAGAAATGCATGGGCAAGAAGGGGCTGTCCTGATGGCAGAGTCCAAGTCACAAAGGGCTCCGAGTCCCAGCCACATTCGTGCCTGCAAAGCCCATGTGCCTGGTTCCCACTCTCACCGTTGGGGGTGGGCGGGAGCAAGGCCTCTGGGGGCCCGCGTGGCCCAGGTGCGCGTTCCACCCCTGCGGGTAGGCCCTGGACTTGTGACAGCACAGAGACTTCCAAGGGGACGGGGGACAACAGGGGAGAGGACTCCGGCCCGGGAGGAAGGTTAAGCAGGGCAGGCGGATGGAGCGCGGGAGGCGCTTAACTGCTCGCATGGAAGTTCTAAGTAGGCCCACGTGTCTCCCTATTTTGAGACTATTTCAAAGTGCCCAGAGACTCAAAGAAACTGAGACAAAAATAATGCTCCTCCCCAAAAAAGAGGGAAGAAAGCTCACTTTTCAGATTTACACTACTACTACTTCTTTTTCTCTGTTATTTCCAAAACCAGAGTGTAATGCGCTGAGCAGCACCAGGCTTCGCTAAAATTGTGCAAAATAATTATTTCACCCAGGGCAAGTGACTGAAAAATTTAAACCACAGCTGACTGATCTGCTAAAGAGAACAAACTGGTTAGAAATAAGCATGGGGTAGTTAACAGATACACTATAGCTTTTCACTCTCCCAACCATTTCACTGTTCACGTCCCTACCTTCCTGCCCAGCCTCGTGCAAATCCCATCTTGGGTCCCAACTCTCTCACCAGGTTCTGCGGACTAACCACAACCTGTTAGGCAGTGAGCATTTATTAACCCAGTCGTCTGTCAGTTACTGGGCTGTGTATTTACTCATTTAACCCTCACCGAGACCTCCTGAGCGAGACAGGACTGCTAGCCAGACGCGGAAGCCGAGGGAAGCGCGAAAACGTGAGGTGTCTCACCCCAGTTCACACACTGGAGCTTGAGCCCAGGCCTATCTGACAAAGGAGTAATTTAGAGAATTCAGCACTATCCAGTGACAGAAAGCGGCGTCTGGTTCCCAAAACAGCATGGAGCCAACTTCAAACTCCAGCGCCTCAATCGACCAGCTCTGTGCCTCTGAGCAAATTAACCTCTCTGGGCCTCAATTTCTTCGTGTATAAAGCAGGGATGAGGAATATACCACAGATGTGAAGTTCATAGTGCATGGTGGAGACCCAGTGGCTGCTAATAGTCCAGCTACAGGTACGCACAGTAAAAAAAAAAAAAAAGTCCATTGCAGTTGTAAAATGAGTTTTAGCAGATATAACCTATACTGGAAATAAGTTCAGAACGGTTAACCATTTTAAAATTAGTTTACTAATTCCATGACTCATTTCTTTAAACATAGAACCAAGGGCTTTCACATTTTTAATTTATTTTATTTCTGTTACATCGATAACTTTCTGTCACAATACCCACTCTCATGCCTCTTTTCAGTACGAAATGTTGACGCGTGTTTAAAACCCAAAAGTGCGGGCACCCCAGGTTAATAAAGCCGCACACGGAGCAAGGGCTGGTAACGGGACGGGCAAGGGGCGCCCTGGAAGGAGCGTGATTCCCAGGAACCGACAGCGAGTCCTCTCAAAGTCAACAACTCTCAAACCTGGTTCTCATAAGGCCAAGCTCACACGTACCCTCATCCTAGTTTCTATCCTGGATTTGCTTCAGGGGAGCTGGACCTGCCGTGATTTCAAGCTTTGCCTCGTTGCAACGTGGAGCAAGCTTGCAGTTTAGTAAAAGGACCGAGTCCGTTCTCTTTAATCTGCTCAGAGGGCTCTGGGCTACGCTTCGGCACCGCAGACAAAACGAGCTTTGGAATTACATACGGGAAACAAAAATCAATCAGAGAAAGGGTATGCCAATTTTGATAGCAATTCCTATTTGCCTAGCATCTGCCAGCGTTAATAATATTTAACTGACAAACTGCAGCAGGGAAAAGAAACAGAACTTTAAACATAATCAAGCTTTTCCAGAGGCCTCGGATACGGAGCTTTCTTCCCTTAAGTCGGCTACCTTTTGGCTGCTGTCATTCCATTAACATTATTAATGGTGTGTTCCCAACGTTATGAGCATTTTTCTCTTGCCCAGCACTTCTGAAAAAAACTTCTTACAGCCCTCCCAGCCGCCTCCCTTGAAGACATTATTTTTAAGCCTTGCTGATATGAGGAGAACTAAGTGAGGTGGGCTCACAGAACTCCCTGCAAAAGCTTGACGGGCAGCTTCCCTCTGCAGAAAAAAGGAAAACAGGAGAAGGAAAGAGAGAGAGGAGGCTGGGAGGGCGCCCTGGCTTCCCGTACCCCAGCCGGAATGCTGAGTCTGTTCATCCTGGGTTAGCCTATTACCCGACTGTGTCTACAGAGAAATGTCCATGAAGAGAAACATTCTGGATTTTTTTTATCCACAAGCAATTCCTAACAGCAGATGCTTTGTTCAACTGAGGGGGACAAAGAGGAAAAAAGAGAGAGAGAGAGAGAGAATGCCATCGCTTAACTTGAAACACCCCTCACTCACCCCAGCCAGACGCCTCCTAAACCGCCTGCAACACCCGTTCTAAGGCTGTACCCGACAGCCCGGCCAAGGGAAGCGCGATCGCCGGCTCGCTGCTGGCGCCCGTCTGGCTTGTGAACCGGCTTCCTTCTACGAGCCGCGCACAGCGCCGAGCCCTTCGCACACAGCGCCCCGGCCCGCACCGCAGCCCTGGAAGGACGCTTGGCTGGCCCCCTTCGTGCAGGTGGGGAATGAGGGCAGCGGGGTGCGGAGCTGGCCCAGAGCAGGCGGCTGCGGCCCTGGGCCCACGGGCTCGGCCCTCCCCGCACGGCCCGTCGCTTTGTCCACCTGAGCTCGTTCCCTCCGGGGTGTTCTCTCCCCAGGACGTGGGGGGCTGCCCACTCAGCACGGCCACCAGCGCTGGGCGGCATGACTTTGCACCTTGTCCAACACCAGGCCTTTTCCAGGCTGGGGGGACGGTGGCGGTGAGGAGTCACAGGTAAGACACAGGTGACTGGGGACGGCTGTCGGAGGCCTTTGGACCAGGAGCACGGCCCTCCACTCACTCTCCCGCACTCCTCTCGCGGGCAGGCGCCCCGCGGGATCTCCTCGGGCCTTGCTGGCCGAGGTGTGCACTTCCCCGGGCAGCCGGCTCCCCCGGACGGACCCAGAGTCGGGCAAAGGCGCTCGGAGCTCACACCTGCCCCGCGGGGCAGGCTGCCGGCAGGGGCACTTCTGAAGAAGTCGGGGGGCGGGGGGGGGCGCTCGAGGACGGCCGGCGAGCCAGGCCCCCAGCCCCGCTTACCGCCCACCCTGACATTCGGGCCAAAGTTGGACGCGCCGAGGGAACCGGCCGGCGCGGGCCCCGGGAGGGAAATGGGGGCAGAGGGTCTTAAAAAGGACGAAGGTGGCCATCGGCCATGTCCTCCGAGCCACCGACACGGAACAAAGGGCTTCTGTCTCGAGCTCGGGGAGCGCGGCCGCGTCCGGATTTGGAGGAAGAGAAACTTTTCCCGCGATGCGGGAGGGGACGGAGCGGGGGCAGGCAGGCGGGCAGGACACGGAGCTACCTGCGGCCCGAGCCGCCGCCGCCCGCCCGGGAGGCCCGCGCGCGCCCTCACCTCCTCGATGGCCGCCACCGTGTTCCGGCACTGCGTCGTGCGCGTGGTGAAGCTCGAGGCCGTGGGCGCCTTGTAGTCCTCATGGGTCTCGGCCACGAATTCCGACACGGAGATCTGGTCCGGCATCGCCGCGGCGCGCGCGCGGCCAGCCGCCGGGGAGCCGCCGCCTCAGCCGCCGCGCGGGCTCCCTCCGGCCGCTGGAACGCCGCCGCCGCCGCCGCCGCCACTCGCCCGGCCCGCGGACAAAGGGAAGCGCCGGGACGCGGGCCGCTGCCGCCGCAGGAGCCGCCGCGGGGCGCGGGTGGGCCGGCCACGGGCCCGGCGGCGGGAGCAGGGGCGGCGCGCGCAGCCCCGCGCAGCTGGGGCCCGGCCCGTCTGCCCGCCGCGCCCAGCGCTCCGCCGCCGCCTGCCTTCCCGAGCGAGCCCCGAGGCAGACGCGCAGAGCCGGCGGGAACTGCCCGCCACCCAGCCGCGGGCCCCGAGCTAGTCCGGCAAGAGGGGCGGGTCCGGGCCGGGGGCGGCGGCCGGCGGGGCGCGGGGCGGGGCGGCGCCGGGGGCCGGGCCGCCAATCCGCGCGCTCGCCGCCGCCGGGAAGCTGAGCCAGCAGGAAGGAAGGCGGCGCGCGCCCGGCCCGCCGGGCCGCTCGCCTCTCGCCGCGCGCCGCATTGTCGCCGCGCGCAGGGGCTCGACGACGCGCCCCGCGGAGCCTGGCGGGCGGCGGGCTGGTCCCAGGCCCCGTCCCCATGCCCGCGCCGCGAGGGCGCGCGCAGGGTGCGCTCGGGCGCTCGCCCCGGCCCAGCCACAGCGCACCTCCTCGTCCCTACCCACCCCGGCGGGGGTTGCAACCTTTCTCGGGGTTCCCCTGAGCCGCGGGGCCTAGCCGTCCCGGCGAAGGCGAAAGCGGGAGGCGCTCGCCCCCTACCGGCCGGTGCGCTCCGCCCAGGGCGCGCACTTCGCATGACACATGCCTCCTGCGCGCCACCGGGCAGCAGCCAGCCGCCAGGTTGCGGTTCTGTAACAATAACAAGAAAAGACCATAGACGAGGGCGTCTGTGCCCTACGCAGACTCTCCTAATCTTCACAGCCTTACGAGGCAGGTGAAGAGGTGGGCATTGGTTTTCTATAGCAGACAAAGTGCTGGAGAGCAGCCGGTGTATGGCCCAGTGAGGGGTTCAAACCCATGTACCCCTGACTCGGAGCCCTTCAGGGTGCTCGTGGCACTCGTAGTAAACGTCCTGGGAGAGTTTCCTAAGCTTAGAATAAGCATAGGTCGTTTTCAGTTACTTGCAAATGGTTTTAGGGTCCTAGCTGGGACCAGGTGTTAGAACACACGACAATAGCGGGCAAATCTCCCACGTAATGGGTCCAGTCAAGAGTTTAAATTAGTACAGATTTTCACGGAACAGCTCTCAAGGAAACCCTCAGTTATTTTTAAAAACCCAGAAGCCCTGAAGACGCTAGCCAAGGAAAATCACACACTATAACTCTGCAGCGGGCCTGTGGCAGGGTTTCTGTAGCCGCCAGCAATAAAGCGGAGGGAAACTTTACAAAACCCTTTTGTGCATCTGAAAAGGAGGAAGTGTGAGAGACATTGGAAACTCGATCTGTCGCACAAAGCAGCCTCCTGACGCTGCGGGACAGTGGGCCAGTCAAACAATCTTTTCTAAGCTCCCATGTAAGAATTTGCTATATGAGGTGGCAGCTTGGGTCAGACATTATGCATGGCCTTTGGTATTTTCGGAGCACTGCGTGTGAAATTTAGCTTTCTGAAATAGCTGTATTAGTGGGTAGCTTTCTTACCATGCTAGGCCAGAAGTTACAATTTAAAAACTATAGCATTTCTTCTTCTGTCCTCTTTTTGGTTTTGGACCCTTTTGGTGTCTTTGGTGGTTTCCTATATTTGCAACTTGCTACAATTCAGGTCCTATCGTTCATATTAATACATCCTCTCCTACATCAGGCAGCTAGCTTCTGGTCCTTCCTAGCTAGTTTTGCAGCTAGGGGTTTTTTTTGTCTGTTTGTTTTTGGATTTTTATTGCTGTTGTTGTTTGTTGACAATGCAAAATATCCTGCTTAACTTTTCAAGTCTTTTTTTTTTTTTTTTTTTTTGGAGGACTATTATCTATCAGACTACGAGGCTTTAAGAAGAGAAAAGAGTGGTTTTTTTCTTGGCACGTAGTACAGCATTAACCAGCCTGATCAAGACTTCTGCAAGGACAAAGTTCACCTCCGGTGGTGTTCTGTCTTTACATGCAATTCCTGTTCTTGTTTCTTGTAATTTAAGATAACTTTTCAGGACTAAAGGGTCCTCCTCCTTCAGTAGCCACAAAAATAAAGCGGCAAAGCTGCATGGCATTTTATAAGCGGGTGAGACGCTGGTAGAAAGGAAGTCCTTGCGAGTCCATTGCCTTGGCAGTGCAAGGGGGCACTCGGGGGTACAACGAGAAGATGACAGATCCCTCCCGTCGCCCCTGAGAGTCCCCGAAGACCAAGCCGAATCAAACAGAGCACAGCTAACACGTCTCTGGCATTAACAGAATGAGTAGTTTCCCACAAATAATAATGAAGTTGAATGTGGATCAAGAAAACATTATATACACAGAAACACACACACACACACACACACACACACACACACACTTTTTTTAATGAATAAGAAGAAGACTATGTGGATAATGCCTTTACAGACCTATCCTCCTTTATCCAGAACATTCCAATCTAAATGCTCCTAATAACCTAAAGTTTTAAAGGTTTTATTTATTTACTTATTTATTTTTAGCGAGAGGGGACAGGAGAGAGACAGAGAGGGAGTGAAACATCTGTCGGTTGCCCCTCACATGCCCACGCCCCCTCCTGGGGACCTGGCCCTCAACCCAGGCCTGTGCCCTGACTGGGAATCGAACTGGCGATCTTGCAGTCTGCAGGCCAGCATTCAACCCAGTGAGCACACCAGCCTGGGCTCAAGTCTTAAAATTAACTCTTAAAGTGGTAAAATTGACCTGAAATGAACTGACATGAGGCCAGTCATAGTCTTCTTATGAACATTAGAAAAAAATGTTTTGCTGCAAAATATAAATGTGCTTGAGTGTGGAGTATTGCCCCACACCCGCTAGGGGTGACAGACTAATATTTTTGTTTTATTGCCTATTTACAAATCTGAAAAGTTCTGAATTCCACACACGTCTGGCCCTAGGGGGTTCAGATAAGAGGTTGTAGAATTTTATGGGGTTTTTTTAAGAAAAAGGAAAACAAATGAAAGAAAAGACACATGGTGTTTCAGACTCATTATTTCCAGGGAAGAGGGGAAAAAACTCCTCTTTCAAAAATGAAATTTTCAGCAGCCCACTGAGATTGGCCAAGAGCCTGTTTTCCAAAGGAATTTTCTGCCTCCAGTTGTTCTCGGGGACCTGAGGTTTTCACTCTCAGATCAAAGTGTCAAATACCTTCTTGACTCTGAAATTTGCTTGAGGGTTGGCTGGTTTAACACAAGATTTATCCAGTTCACTTGCTATTACTTTGTAAATGATTACTCTTGAAAAGAACAGATCTGTGCCTTAAAAGAACTATGGTAAACAGTGAAATGAAATAGAAGAAACCACCACCAATGATGAACAAACCTTAATGACTCAAGCACGGGACCATAACCAGAAGTTTCTTTTCCACAGCTTCACAATACGGTCCCCAAAACAGTGCTGCTGAAGGGACTCATTTACCCCGCAAGTGGGAGAGGTCTGCATAGCTTTACCGCAGTGACCTCACCTCCTTCGCAGGGAAAAGGAGCACAGCAGAAACCATTTTACACAAGAAAACAAGGTTGCTATCAGTGTTGCCTACCTGGGACTTTGGTTAAGTAAATTAACCTTGCTGGACTCAACCTATCTGAAAGCAAAAGGAAATGGATTAGCTCATTTCAAAGGCTCCCTCACCCCGCTCTCCGCTCCGTTGGCCACAGGGCAGGGAAGCCGCGGGGAGGGCCGAGTACTAGTCACTGGCCCGGACACTTGGAAATGCGGGTCATTGAGATGGCAGCTGAAGCTCATTTTTGAGGGGGCTGTCATTTTGATAAGCTGGTAGATTTAGACGACAAACTGATTTACACCTAACTTCGCAATAAGATACTTGAGGCCTATCTATTCTTTTATCTTAACAAAGCGATTTCTAGAGGTGACATGCTCAGTTCTAGAAAAATGAGGTATACTCTCTACTATGCCAGAGCCAGCCTGGGCTTATTCCAGAAAACTGTTAGATTTTGAGGGATTTTTGCAAACTGTCCATTGCTTCCAAATGGTGGAAATGCTACCCTAACAGTGTGCTGGGCCCATCTCTTCCCTCCGCATTCTAGGAGTTTGAAATGGTGTCTGCTGGAGGTATTTACACCAGAGAAACTGGCCAATGCCCAAAACTAAGGCTTTACTTTATCCTTTTGTTCATTGCCTAAACTTAATAAAGCGATAGAGAAAATATCAGCGTGGATTAGACTGAAGGTGTGTCGTGTCTGTAGCCTGTCCATTGTGAATAGTGGAAATATTTGCAGTCATGCCCTTTCAGTATTTGCAAACTCTGTGATTCAGCAAAGAGGTCTTCATGTCTATCCGTTGACAGATAGGGAAGTTGCAGCATATATTATCACAACTTCACTCTTATCATTAACGTAAGCAAAACATCAACCCATATCCATGTTGGCTGGTTTGTCGCTCATTTGTCAGTGGCATGAGCAACTTCTTTGATGATCTGGATAATAATCAAACGTTGATTCATAGTCTTATTTTGTCAAATCGCGGTGGACTTGCAAACGCCGGTTGGCTAGGAATACAAGAGCTCAGCAAAAACCCGTGAAAGCACCCTAAGAAACCAGGTAGCTGTACGGGATTTACAATAAAGCATAGAGCATAATTTGTTATTACTTAGAAATGGGGTGCTATGCGTCCTTTATGGAACGGAGTTAACTTGTGATGAACATGTGTCTGTACACACACATTCTCTGCAGGGAGCATGTTGTTAAACATTTACCACTGCTGGGCGCAATCCTGCCTTCCTGCCAAGGGGCGGAGTGTGGACCTTCGCCCGTGAGTCATGCTGATGGGATAGGGCCCATATAGAATTAAACCTCAATGCACTAAACTACACACGCAAAGGCAACTTGTGTTAGTAAAAATGGTCTCAGGCTCATTAAGAAAAAGCGACTTGTTCTTTTCAATGACTCGGGACACCACAGAAAGTGTCGACAGAGGGTGTGGTCTGTGTTAGTGAAAAAGCAAAAAGC